CGACCCTTTTCTCCAACCAAGTTAAGATTTCTAACCTGTTGTCCAGCACATTCTTCACGTGCTTGAAAGTTTTTCCACCGAACTCGTCGAGTAGCTTATGCACCTCTTTCTGGGTGTGGCTATCTAACTCCTTCAACCTAGTAACCATTTCCTCTACTAAAGCTATCGACTCCCTTAAAGTTCCAGCTCTTTATTTTGCCATCTCGAACTCATTTGCCACAAACTAGTTCAATCACCCTTGACTAGCTCGAGCGCAAATCCTTGCTAACTTAACAGCCAAAGTAAATTTACAATACAATAAGTAAATCAAACTTACATGGTTTACCACATCCACCAAACATGTACGAAACGATCGTTGTCTCTCCACAACAACTCGCACTGATACCACTTGTCACACCCTCAGAACCTTTTAGCCCAAACTATCGTAAGTGCAGCCTTAGACGCTTCTTGAAACTTATGAGTCTTTTCTGCAACTAAGTAAGCCTTACCCAAGCCTACTGAGCATGCAAACTCACCAAGGTTGGAACCAAGCCCTCAAGGCTTCTAGGATACGGAAGCTTTAACACCAACGTGGCTACTCCAAGCCACCAAGGTTGGACTATGCTGTGGGAGTGAAAACACAAGCGTGGCTACTCCTAGCCACCAAGATAGGAAACAACACAAAGAGTCTTAGGAACAAAAAACACAAAAGATAGAGTAAATGCCTCAGAACTTTATTAATCTCCTAAAAGAATGAATGAAATGAAATGTTCTAAATGAGGAGGGGAAGTTCTCTATTTATAGTTGAGCTTCCTCTAAATCAATGACCTAGATCTATTTACATCAACAACTAAGATGAGCTCAATTAATACATAATCCCCTAAATCAAGGAAATCCAACCCAATCCTATATAATTACATCCATTAGTAAGATTCCCTCCTTGGAGAGGTGTTCACACTGGAAATGGAAAGATTCTTCCATAATCCTCCTTGATATTACATCATCCCCTGTCATATTTTCCAAGCTCTTGTGAACATCTTCGAATATGTTGTCACTTTTCTTTTTTTTCACGACTAGTGTGAAATGGATCCAGAATATTCTCCAAGTGATGGGCCAAGTCTGGTGGTCTTGGTAAGCCCGATACTCCATTTTAAACCTCTTTGTCGGACACTTGCACCAATGTCCCGAGCCCAACTCCGTGGCTCGTGACACTAGAGATAGCAAAAATACTTTTAGCAAACTCCGTCTATAAGTAAAGCATTAGAAGACTAAATCAGCTAGAAAGATAAGTTTTTAGCTCCTTAAGTGACTCCCACCATTCATTCCCAAAGTAGTTTCCCGTGTGAAGATTATCAAGCTATTCCATTTATTTGCTATTTTTACCATTTTACATTGCGTTGTCATTTTAATCATATTCATCATTATAAATTGCTCTTTTGTCACGACATTATTCACTTAATCACACTCCGTCACCATTATTTCATTCATTCTCACATTTTCATTGCCGAAGCATCATCAATGTATATATCATTTTTATACTTAGATAAATTAGTGTAGTGTTGTGATCAACCTCATAATTTCCATCAATCCCTGTGGAGATGATACTCACTCATCACTTTATTACTTATTGCGATTGTGTATACTCACACATTATTTGCGCATAATTTATTAGTACACACAACACGCAACAAGTTTTTTGCGTTGTTGCTGGGGATTGACAACATGAAGTTAATTCGTTTTCCATAGCATTTTATTTTTGTATAGTTTACTTGCTATTTCACTTTATTCTTTTTAGGCTTATTTGGTGCATGACCAAAAGACATTCTGATGAGCCATTAGAACCAACTGAACCTAAGATTGAGAGACTTTTTAGGAAAAGGAGATGTGTTCAATGTGCTCAAGAAAATATGTATCAAATTGGGAATTAGGGCCTTGGTTAAGAAAAATATGATCAGAATGCTGAGGCATTCCATAATGATGAGCCTGTTGATAGGCCTCATGCTATTTGCGATCATTTGAATCATGGAATTATGACACTCGAAATTCAAGAAGCCCATTTTAAGCTCAAACATGTGATGTTCAATATGTTAAATTCTATAGGGTAATTTGGGGGCTTGCCAACTACATATTCTAGGTAGCAAATTCAATATGTTAAATTCTATTTTCATACTATTTGTGTGATAGAGTGAGGGCTTGGTTGAGTGGTGTTCCATCTGGTTGAGTGGAATCATGGACCAATCTTTGTAAACGTTTCCTATTGCGCTATAACCTGCCAAACATGAACACTCAGCTGAAGAATAACATAGCATCCTTTCGCCAAGGCGATGATGAATCTATTTATGAATCATGGAATTATGGCACTCGAAATTCAAGAAGCCCATTTTAAGCTCAAACATGTGATGTTCAATATGTTAAATTCTATAGGGTAATTTGGGGGCTTGCCAACTACAGATTCTAGGTAGCAAATTCAATATGTTAAATTCTATTTTCATACTATTTGTGTGACAGAGTGAGGGCTTGGTTGAGTGGTGTTCCATCTGGTTGAGTGAAATCATGGGCTGATCTTTGTAAACGTTTCCTATTGCGCTATAACCTGCCAAACATGAACACTCAGCTGAAGAATAACATAGCATCCTTTCGCCAAGGCGATGACGAATATATGTATGAATATTGAGATCGTTACAAGAGTTTACTTCGTAAATGTTCTAATCATAATTTTCAAGACTGGACGCAAGTAGTTATGTTTTATAATAGAGTCAATGACCACATAAGGATGATGCTCGATGCCTTAATAAATGGGACATTGCTTGATAAATCACCTACTGAGGAATTTGCTATTTTAGATAAAATTACGAACAATGACTATCAATTTCCTTCCTCAAGGCTTGGAATTGGGAGAAAAACAACTGGGGCATTTGAGTTAGATACTAAGGACTCTGTGTTCGCTAAACTCTCAACTATCACTAATATGTTGAAAACTACAACACTCTACTAAAGTAAAGGAAGTAAATGCAGCTAGTTCGACATGTTTGTTATGCTATGGCAATCATCACGAGAGAGAATGCCCAACCAATCATGAGTCCATCAATTTTGTAGGAAATTTTAATCGAGGCAATAACAATCCCTACTCCAACACCTATAATCTAAAGTGGAGCCAACACCCTAACTTTTCACTGAGTAATCAAGGAGCTCTTCATGCTAGTAAACCTACTCGTCAGCAAAATTATACTAGATCTCAAGGCTACCAACATACTATGCAATGGCATAATGCTAATAAGGGAGCCTCATCTTCAGCAAAACACTAGTTCTTTAGAGTCCACAATTCAAGATTTCATATCTACCACGAAGACAATATTGCAAGATCATTCTACTTCAATTAAAAATCAAGGAGCTTTGCTTCATAGTCAATGTACCTTAGTTCAAAGCCATAGATCGTCTCTGAGAGCTTTGGAAGATCAAGTTGGTTAGATTGCTATAGTATTACAAGAACGTCAGCAATGATGATTTTCGAGTGACACTGAAGTCACTAAATCTCACGGACAAGAATAATGCAATGTATTTACTCTTAGGAGTGAAACTAAGATTAATCAACAAGTCAAGTTTGGGGGAAAACAACATGATGATTCTACCTTCACTTCTAAACAAGTTGAACCTGAATTACATGATGATATCATTGTTGAGAAGGAAAAAGATGAGGGTTCCACTAGTGAACATGCCAAAGCACTAAATTTCAATGCCAAGGGAAAAACAATTCATACTCTCGCAGTTAAGGAAGTTAGACTCCCACTTCCCTTCCCACAAAGATTGAAGAAGCACAATGATGAAGTTCAGTTCAAAGAGTATGCAGACATTCTTGATCATCTCCACATTAATGTACCTCTCTTGGAAGCCATTAAGCAAATTTTTACTTAGGCCAAATTTCTTAAGGAAATTTGCACCAAGAAGAGGAAAGTTAAGAAGTTGAGATAGTTGCCACGACAAAATAATATTGTTCCGCATTGAGCAAGTTACTGCCTTGTTATTCCATGTTCTATAGGAGCTAAATTAGTTGGAAAGGCACTATGCTATCTTGGTTCAAGTTTGAAATTCATTACAAAATCTATATTCTTGAAGCTTGGCATGAGAAATGCCAGACCCTTCTCTATGATTTTACAACTTACCGACCGATCATATCTTAGAGCTGAAGGGAGAATCGAAGATGTCATAGTGAAGGTGGATAAATTTGTGTTCCCAGTTGACTTCCTTATCCTTTATTGTGAAGTTGATGCCAATGTGCCTATTATCTTGGGTAGGCCTTTCCTAGTTACTGGTCATGTTTTGATTGATTGTAAAAAAGGTGAACTTAATATGAGAGTTTTCAACCAGTGTGTGACTGTGAATGTTTTTCGTACTCTCAAGTATGTTGATGACTCTGAAGAATGCCAAGTCATTTTTGAAATGAACTCCTTGATTGAAGAATAAATCGAACAACTTTTCCAAAACAATTTGATTCAGCTAGTAGACTATGAATGACCTAATGACGATGAAAGCATAGAGGAGCATGAAAAATTGCAAGCTGGGGTAGAGTAATCTAGCTTACTACTTGCTAGATCAGGTATGCACTTTGAACCATTTGATAAGCCATCATATTGCATGCACCTACCCTAGAGCTAAAGCCTTTTCCAGGGCATCTTAAATATGTTTGTTTGAGTAGTTATAATACTTTACCTATGATTATTTCCTCTAGCCTTACTACTAACCAAGAACAAAGTTTGATAAGTGTTTTTTCGTAGTATAAGAAAGCACTTGGATTGACGATGGCTGATTTGAATAGGATTAGTCCCATGATTTGTATGCATAAGATCCTGCTAGAAGAATACCATGGCAACTCAATAGAACCACAACGAAGACTCAACCTGATTATGAAGAAAGTTATGATGAAAGAAATAATCAAATGACTTGATGCTGGAGAGATTTACCCCATATCTAATAGCTCATGGGTGAGCCTTGTCTAGTGTGTGCCCTAGAAAGGTGGCACAATTATGGTAACCAATGAAGATAATGAGCTATTGCCTATGCGCACTATCACTGGTTGGAAGATATCCATGGATTATCGTAAGCTCAACAATGCTACAAAGAAATACCATTTTTCTCTACTCTTCATCAATAAAATATTGGATCAATTGGAAGGCAAAGCAATCTATTGCTTTTCAGATGGGTATTATGGGTACAATCAAATTGTCATCGCACCATAGGACTAAGAGAAGACCATATTCACATATCCCTATGGCACTTTCTCTTTTAGGATGATGCCTTTTAGACTCTGTAATGTCCCCAATAACTTTTCAGCATTGCATCCAAATCATCTTTTTGACATGGTTGAGGACTTTCTTGAGATATTCATGGATGATTTCTCTGTTTCTGGATATAACTTAGAGTTATGCCTTGGTAATTTGGAAAAAAGTTCTTAAAAGATGTCAGGAGGATGACTTGGTTTTGAACTGGGAGAAATGTCCCTTCATGGTGACTGAGGGCATTGTATTAGGACACAAGATATCCCATAAGGGCATTAAGGTGGATTAAGCTAAGATTAAAGTAATTGCAAAATTGCCTCCACCTACCTCTACCAAGGGCATCAAGAGTTTCCTTGGACACACAGACTTTTATAGAAGATTCATCAAGGATTTCTCTAAAATGTCTAAGCCAATATGTACCTTGCTTAAACAAAATCAACTCTTTGTCTTCAACAAGTTTTGCCCAGGTGCATTTACTGAGCTGAAGTAACGATTGATTTCAATACATTGTAGTTCCTCCAGACTAGACATCACCATTTGAGTTGATCTGTGACGTAAGTGATTATGCTATAGGAGTTATTTTGGGGTAACACCAAGGTAAAGTTTTTCATGTTATATATTATTCTAGTCGCACCTTGAATGAGGCCCCAATGAATTACACAGCCACCAAGAATGAATTGCTTGTCATGGTATTTGCATTTGATAAGTTTAGACCATAACTAATAGACACTAAGGTTATTGTTCACACTGATCACTCAGCTATAAAATACTTAGTGAACAAAAAGGATACCAAGCCTAGACTTATTAGATGGATCTTACTTTTTCAAGAATTTAACTTAGAGGTTGTAGATAGAAAATGTATTGAGAATCAAGTTGACGATCATTTATCTAGGCTAAAAAGCAATTATGAATGCCCTGACATTGTATATATTCAAGAAGAATTATGTGATGAGAAAATCTTATATGCCACGGTAATCCTGTGGTATGATGACCTTGTTAATTTTCTTGTTATTGGTATACTACCTTTTGAAATGAACAGGCAGGGGAAAGAAAAAGTTCAAGCAAGATGCAAAGTTCTACTTTTGGAATGAGCGATATTTATTCAAGCATTATGCACACTAAATCATTAGACGATGTGTAACTGAAGAGAAGCAACAAGACATCCTATAACATTGTCACACGACCCCAAGTGGAGGCCATTTTTTTAGGAGCGATGACCGCTACCAATGTTCTACAATCAGAATTTTATTGGACAACATGGTTCAAAGATGCTTATGTATTTTACAAGTCTTGTGATCGATGCTAACGCACTGGGAACATATCCAAGTGACATGAAATGCCATTGCAAGGCATTTTAGAAATTGAGTTATTTGATGTTCGAGGCATTTATTTTATGGGACCAGTCCCATCTTCTTGTGGTGATTTGTACATATTGTTTGATATGGATTATGTATCCAAGTGGGTGGAGGTGATTGCAACATCAAATAATAATTCCAAAACCATGCTTAAGTTTTTACACAATAACATATTTACTCGTTTGGAGTGCGTCGAGCCATCATTAGTGACGAGGGAACCCACTTTGATAACAAGTTGATTGTCAAGGCATTGAGAAGATATGAAGTCTGTCACAAGATTGCCACGATATATCATCCACATACGAATGACCAAGTTAAAATATCCAACTGTAAGATAAAGTAGATCTTAGAAAAAATAGTGAATTCGAGGTTGAATGATTGGTCACCAAAGTTAGACTAGTCACTCTGGGCATATAGAACAACTTTTAAGGCTCATCTGGGCATGTCACCCTTTAAGTTAGTGTATGGGAAGGCATGCCACCTCCCTATTAAGCTAGAACACAAAGTGTGTTGGGCCATTAAGAGGCTAAATTTTAATGTTCAATTAGATGGGGACCAAAGACTGCTTGAGCTTAATGAGATGGAAGAGTTCAGGGTACAAGCATATGAGAATGCCAAGTTATACAAAGAAAAGACCAAAAAGTGGCATGACCAAAAGTTGATACCACGACATTTTCATGTTGGCTAACATGTATTACTTTATAATACAAGGCTTAAACTCTTCCCTGGAAAGCTCAAATCTATATGGTCAGAACTATTTGAGGTGTATCACGTCCACCCTCATGGAGCATTTGATATAAAAAATATAGATGATGGAATGATCTTTAAAGTTAATGGTCAGTGCTTGAAAGTTTACAATGGAGCTCCACCTTTGCGCGACAAGTCAGTGCTTTACCTGCACGACGTCTGAGTGTGCCTGTCCCGTGAACCAAATTTCAATGCCACATCATTGGATTTTGTTGTTTGTGCATAAATAAAGAATTTATTTTTATTTTTCTTATTTTTATTTTTATTATTCATGGATATTTACAAATTATTTTGTATTGTAAGAACCCACCAGAGCTCATACCTACCCGATGAAGAGGTTACCAATGGAAGAAAAAAAATTAAGGAGGAAATATTCTTTTTACACTTTATTCCTCTATTTTATTTTATTTCCATTTTTTTAATTGTCCTTTTACCCCTCATTTAATGTTTATAGTTTACTTTTTCACATACCTATTTCACCTCATCCACTCACTTCTTGTTAATCGTCCACTCATTCTCTCTTTCACTATTTCTTTTAACTTTTCATCTTCTTCTTCTTTCTTTCCCTCTATATCGATGCCAATATTGCAAACAAAGCTCTCAACTTTTTGTTCTTTCTTCTTCCAAACAGGTAAAAAAATGGTACGAACGCGACCCTAAATAGATGAAAGAAATCTTCCTGAACAGTTCGTGGGTGAAGCTACGAATGAGCGATTCCAAAATTTTTAAAAATTGAAAACTTTTTTTTGAGTTGGGGTTTATTTTCACCGAGGAGTAAGATGACGATTTAGGGCCAAATGTCATGGACATTATCGAACCACACAAATAACAAAAGTTTACGTGACATCCCAATTCAGTCAACGCCTTGTTGGTTAAAGATTTTTATGCTAAAATCTCAAAACCAAACAAAAATTTTGTTTTTGTTAAAGGTCACTATATTTGTTTTACATTGTCAATGATTAACCGTTATTTTCACTTACAGGACGTAGTTGATCAACGTGTTGATTTTGAAAATAAAGTCGATAGTGCGATGTAAGATGGTATACTCGAAGATTTGTGTTTGCTGAACACCGAATGGAATAGCCATCAAGATGGTCATTTTTCTGTCAACCGGAAGTGTCTCTAACCTCACGCAAAATTGTGGAACCACTTCATGAAACACAAGTTAATGACAACTTCCCATAATGCGAGAGTAACCCTTCCACGTCTAATGTTATTACATTCTATTATGGTTACTCATTCAATTGATATTGATCAAATAATTGTTGAGGAAGTTCATGAGTGTTTAGGAAAGAAATCTAGTGCATTGGTGTTCTAGAATCTTATCACGACATTGTGTCAAAAATTGAAGGTGATTGAAAGCGGTTTTGATGAAATTTTATCTGGAGTGTCGGCCATCACAAGATCACGGCTACCCATTCTGTTGGAACTGGTTAACCCCAAATCCAAGGCAACCAATACTGAGAAGTCTGAGGAAGAAACCTCGTAATGCCGAGAAAAGACTACCTGCCCTCAAAAAATCTGTCCAAACAATGTTCTCATGGGTGATATAAAGAATTTATTTATCTACGTCAAGCATAGGGATGTTGTTGTGGAGTCAATCTTTCAGAAGATGCTCCCTCACGTGGAATAGAATTTCTCAGGTTTCCCTAATGAAATTCTACCAGCATTTGTCGATACTGAGGCAACCCCTGAGCCTGATGATGTCGATCTTGCTGATGCTGAGCCCGTGCCAGACCCTCAACCCAGCCCCCATCTCATGGTGTTCCTGATAAGCCGTCTCATTCAGCCCCTAGTCTAGATGAAACACCAAAGCCTCATTCCATGTGTAGAACTCGCCATCATATCAAGACTTCAGGTGGTGCGTTAATACCTCTATTACACATAACTATTCAACATCTCCAAAATCCAACCCCACACCACTAAGGAAACGTACCAGGCGTGGAACTGCAAGCACCTCCACCGCAACATTGCCACCACCATATAAATTGAGGTGCCTTATTTTTTCATTCATTTTTGTATAGCATGACATTGCATTTCGTTTCATTAGTTACTTAGTTCTCTTAAGCATTGAGGACAATGATTCTCTTAAGTTTGGAGGAGGTAGTGTTCATTGAAGAACATGTGCATGATAATATTAGCATAACATTAAGCTGTGGCATCAGTAATTGTTAGGACAATTAGATGAAATGTTTTGATGATACCCGATGCTGATGAATTTTAGGCTAGAAATTGAATGTAAATTATTATTGAGAATGATAGAATTGACTCTAGGACTTGATGCTTTATGAATTATTCTTAAATTATTCGTATGTTCTCTATACTTAAGGAATTTAGGAAGTTTTTATGGAAAAAACTTTGGTTAGCCTTGGCATTAAGATTTGATAGTGTACTTAAATGATAAATCATTGTTTGAAGAACTCCCTTATGTCTAAATTTTGTTTAATCATGAATAAATACTTCCGCATAGCTGTAGAGGGACACCTCTCTTTGTCGTGATATTGCCTGGAACTCTCTTTAATAAATGGCAGTCACGCGTATACGAGTGAATAAAAGTAGTCACGGAATGAATCTACTTGTTTGCACTGTTGAGACAATGCTTGGATATTGTGTTTCAATAAATGGCAGCCAAAGAAAGTGTAGACCATAGTTCTAATAGGATGACTCTCCTCGTAGCAGTGTAAAAAAAAGAGAAAAAATTGTGTATTAAGTAAAAAATGAGTACAAATGTGCTTAATGAATGAATAAGTGTTGTGGAAAAACTTGGGAACTCAATTAAAAATTACCTAGATTCGTTAATTATAGATTATATACAATCACACACACACAACCACAAAGAATCTTAACCGAGGGAAAATTACTTGATTTCTTCATATTTATAGCATATGAAGCCAAATTTTCTAAGCGTTGAAATTCAATTGTTGTCTTATTGTTGAAAATTGCCATGACATTTTGATTGTGTTAATTGCTACCCAGTGCTTGAGAACAATCAATAGCTTAAGTTTGGGGGTGTGACAACTCCATAAAAAAGGTTATTTTTAAGGCCTTTTTTCACTTAAGTTATTGTTTGTCTAAGTGTTCATATAGGTCATTTTATATTCATATAGTTGCATGTAGATGTATTGGTGGTGGTTTTGTTATTTTTACTTTGTTAAGGTGCTATATGATGGGAAAGATATGGTTGGTTAGTGATATACAGGAAATAATGAGCATAGGGCAAGCTAAGAAAAATGTCGTGGCATCACATGTTGTTGAAGCAGACTGCTATGCCTTGGCATTTCTGGCGCAGAAAAAGACAGAGATATTTTCACAATAGGACAGTTGTCAAAGCACGTGTTTGTTCATTACCACCTGTAGAGATAAACTTCTCACAAAATGAATGAATTTGGGGATATGATGGGTATTTTGAGTGTAAAATTCCTAAGAATACCCTTAGATATTTTTTTATTTAAAAGGACACCACACAAGAGAGAGAAGATGCAGAAATCCATCACCATCTTCTCCATTTTTCTCCACCTCCATTAACGCGCACTATAGTTTTTTCTTTTCTTCTTCCTCTATTTTTTTATTGGTGTTCCACCATTGGTGAAGCTCAAGGGAGTGGCGTAGTATCCGTGAGGAGCTCACGCTATAGCAATTCATGGTGGTTTGAGGGAAGTGTCGGTCGTGCACACCTAGTGTTTTCTTCTCCAACCTTTGCTCCATTGTTAAAGCTTGAAACTTTATTCGGGTTGTAAGGCCGAATGAATGATTGGGTATACTCTATGGTTTGTTCTAACCCAACCATGAAATAATATTAGGTGGGGGTTGATTCGATGGATGCTTGAAACTTCATTTTAATGGTTGATAAATGTTTATCTTTTGTTTTTACTTGTTTTGTTTATGTGTGCTTCATCTTCTAAGATTGTAGTAGGCATGAGAGTGTCCATTTCTTAGATGAAGACTAGATATTCGAGATAAATCTAGTCATTAATTCTTAAGTATTCGAGATAAACTTAAGTATGATTAACATAAGCAATGGGATATAGTTAATCACTATAGCCTAATCCCTTAGTACTTGAGACTAACTAAGCTAGGATTTCAATGACTAAGAGGGGTAGTCCGTCTTCAATAGTGTAGGTTGTCATAGTTGAGACTGAGAGAATATGTCGTAGCATTATATTTTGTTAGGTTCTTATGAATAGAGATAGCAAGAACACTTTTAACAAACCCCGTCAAACAAGTAAAGCAATAGAAGACTAAATCAGCTAGAAAGATAAGTATTCAGCTCCTTAAGTAACTCCCCATAATTCATTCCCAAAGTAGTTTCCCTTGTGAGGATTATCAATTTATTCAATTTATTTGCTATTTTTACCATTTTACATTGCCTTGGCATTTTCATCATATTCATCATTATAAACTGCTCTTTGGCCACAACATTATTCACTCATTCACACTCCCTCATCATTATTTCATTCAGTCTCGTATTTCTATTGCTGAAGCATCATCAGTGTATATATCATTTTATACTTAGATTAATTAGTGTAGTGCTATGGTCAAACTCATAATTTCCACTATTCCATGTGGAGACGATACTCACTCATCACTTTATTACTCATTACGATTTTGTATACTTGAACATCATTTGCGTATAATTTATTAGTACTCACAACACGCAAAATTATCAAACAAACATTGGCTTGCGATAAGTCTGTGTCGAAAATAAATTAATAAGTGACTCTTAGTGTAATAGGTAGTGTGATTTGAGCCTACATGTTCATTTAGTAAACTAATAAATTAGTAAATAAGTTAAGGATGCAAATTAATAAAATATGTCTAGAAAATATGTTCTCAACAGTAAGTTTAAAAAATCACCATAAATTCTATAACAATGATTGAAGGATTAATCTTATACCATTAGATTCATATATCAGTATAGTTTTCTTTATAATAAACATAAATTTATTCTGAGGAGTATACAAAAAGATATGAATTTTTAATCAGTGATAGGTCATAAAATAGGGCAGCAAATTATAGTCAAAACAGTTTCTGTTAGTCAACTTTGAAAATTTGCTATAAATTGTACAAGTGGAACTAAACAAAGTGTCTTATATGGTTAGATTCTTATTCAAGTATATTTTTATGTTCTGCAAACAAAAATAATTTTTAGTATATATATTAATACATAATAATATTTCTTTGAAGGTAGTGCAAACTGTCAGAATATGAAATTTTGATAAATTGTGTGGTGGAAGCAATTTAAAGCAAAGGATTAAACCTAAAGCTTAGTGAGGCTTATATTTTGATTTATAAGTAAAGTGTTAAAGTGAGTGAAATTTATTTATTTATTTTATTATTATGATCGAGGATGACTTGTGATAAGTCAACCTCATTTTATTTTTCCAATACGGTTTATAAGTTCTTATGATGGAATATTTTCATAATATTTTTCATCAATTTTTATAAATGATTTTGGGTATGAACTTCCCAAGTACTAAATTTATGATGATGAATTCTAAATGTTCACAGTTATCAGATGTTTTTCAGTTATCAGATGTTTTACATTTATAAGACAGATTAATAAATGATATTATGATGATAAATATAAGCCCACTGTATGTTGCGTTGAGAGTCATAGGTATATTTTGCATGTCATTAAGTGTAGTACTTTTCATGTTAGGATTGCACTGAAGTGCATCATATCTCAGTTTCAGTTCAACTATGGTACATTCGTGTACCCTATGATCAGTATCGTTGGTGCACAGGTTATGATTGCACTGAAGTGCATCATATCCTAGTTTCATTTATGATTCGACACCGTGTTGTACCTAGTGCACACCTTATGCTCACGTACCTTATATTCTCTTACATATACACTGGGCTATAACAGTAAATGAGAAAGTTATGGCAGTATATGAAAAAAAATTCTGAAATATGTTCGAATGGAAAGAATAAAAGTTATTTATGATATTTGATGATGACTTACAAGATTTTTGACAAAATCTTAAGATGATGATTTTCAGGTTTTCAGAAGGGAAACGACTTGACTAGCCCAATTTGAAGTTTTAATGTTTTATTTAAATTATAGTTTATTGTATATATTTTTTAGAATTTATGTTTTAGCTATACTTTTGTCTCACTATGTTTTACTTAGTGCGTGATTATTTTCGTGCGTGATTATTTTCATGCGTAGGTTCGAATATAGTAGAGGACGTCCAGTGAGGAGCTTACCAGCATCTTATGGAAATCAAACCTACCGACAGTATCAGTAAGACATCCTAACATTGATTTATTAGTGGCATGTACATTATATATGTTGGGTTACTTTATCATATTTATATTTAAAAGGGTTTAAAATATAAATTTAAAATAATTTTAATGTTTGGTTAATTTCAATTATAATCGTATTTATAAATGAATATTTTGACTGGTTTTAAATGGTTTTTAAATTAAGTGGTATTTAGGATGTGATATATATAATTATGAACAGTTATGAACTGCTTTCTTACTAAGTGAAATTGTTTTCAATGATTAAATTTATTTTACGATTTCATACAAATAATATTAAAGTTTTTAAATTGAAATAGATAAAGTTCAAAAAGGAAATCATATTTTAAGTCGTTATGCTCAGTAAATGTTTTTCAAGTTGATGTGACATATATGGTTCATATATCGAGACATATATGAGCTATGGGTATTACGTTTATTAGTATCAAAGTAGCATGTTTAGTCGATTCTCAGCTTAAACCGAGCCTATGTTATTGTTAGAAATATGTATATTTCACTAGGATGTCAAAATTACTGATCGGGTATTGTTTAATG